ACAAAATACTCTGCCAGCTTCAAACTCTTCTTCTGTAGCTTCCCCTCCTAAGCCTTAATAAAATCAGAGAGCGGTGGCCTTATTCTGGATTAGACTTTTGATTAAGGGAATGTAGTGATTACTTTGATCTTTCTATCTCGACCACTAAAACTTTCCCCCCATCAGCAATAGGGCTGTTTTACTTTCTTATCATTCATGTGTTTACTGCAGTTGTACACCGATTTCCTTCCAAGAATCTTCCTTTGTAGTTACAACATGGCTTTGGCAAGTGGTCTAGCTTTTGGTTTAGTTATTTTTTTTTAAATGAAAAAACCATTTTTATTATGTGTTTAATTTGTGTGTGTGTCTGTGTGTCTATGTGTGGGTATGTGGAGGTCAGAGGACACTGTGCAGAAGAAATTGGTTCTCCCTTCCACCATGTGGATTCTGAGATCAAATCCAGATCAACAGTCTGGGCAGCAAGTGCCTTTACCTTCGGAGCTATTTTGCCAACCCTGGCTTAGTTCTGCTTTTCGTATACTTTATTCAGTAAGCTTAATAATTCCTTCATTTTGATTTAAAGGGTGTGGTAAGATTCTTCCTTTCACCTTAGCAGTTAAGAAGGCCAGTGCAGAGTTATTGGTCTAATTTCAATATTGCATCCTAGAGGATAGGGAGGCCTGAGGAGTGGAGAAAGATTGAGAACTAGCCAGTCTGGGACCAGTTTATAAGCCAATTTATAGTTTGCAGTATTCTAAGGGAGATTAAGGTGCTCCAAAACAAATATAATAGCATTAAACATCAGTGATTGCAATGATGTAGTTTGCAATGATGTAGCCATGATGAAAGTTTGAAATATGACAAGATTATTAAAGTTTGACAGCTGTGAAGTGTGTACGCACAATTGAAAAAATGGTGCTGATAGTCTTGTGTGATCTATAGTTGCCACAAACCTTCAGTCTGTAACAAAACAGAACCCAAAATTATCTTCAAAGCACAATAAAGGGATACATGCCTGTATATTTTACATTTTTCCTTCAACATTCCATTAACTACTAATGAAGTCATTGTATATATACTTTTTGGTATTTCACAAACTTGGCCTATATTTTTTTCTTTTTAAAATACCCTCTCCCCCATCTGCAGCCTTCCATAGCACCCCCATTGGATTTCATGCATTTGCTCATATAAGGTCTACTGAGTCTTAGTGTCCCCAGATGTCCCTCAGTACAAGTTCATCCAGTGGGGTCTAGTCAGCCTATCTAGAGTCACTCCCTTAAGGAAGATCAGCTCTTCCTCACCCAGCAGCAATCAGCTGCCCAATAATTCTTTGGCTAAGATTGGAGCCTGCTGCCCATTTGTTTTTAAAATTATTTTTATCTTATGTGTATGCATGTATTGCCTGCATGTAGGCAAGTGCACCCGTGTTGTGCAATGCCCGCAAAGTCAGAAGAGGCTGTTGGATCCCCTTGGACTGGAGTTACAGTTGTTAGCTGCCATGTGGGTGCTGGGATTCGAACCTGAGTCTCCTGCAAGAACAGTCAGTGTTCTTAACTGTTGAGCCATCTCTCCAGGCCCACATTTCTGAATTTCTATGCTGGGGTTTTGTCTGCTTGAGCTTGCATAGTCTTGTGCGTGCTGGCACCATTGCTGCAAGTTCATATGAGCAAGGTCCCAGGAGCCTGCAAGACTCTATTTCCATATGGTCATGCACCACCTCCCCTGGCTCTTACAATCTTTCCCTTCCCCACTTCCACAATAGTCCCTGAGCCCAGGGTGGGTGAGTCCTGTCCAAGGACCCACACTCTGCAAACTTATTCTCTATGCTTTGACCATTTGTGGCCCATTGTGTACATTGCCCTCTGTTGCACAAGGGACCTTTTAGAGTTGAGATGCAGTAGTGTTCTCTCTACTCCTTGTTCCATTATGTTTCATGAGCCTTAGATGTAGGTTCCATTGTAGATGTGTCACTTACGGTTGGGCATTTCACAGAGATTTAATTTCTGTGTGACCAGTTGTAGAATTCTGTAATACTTTCCAGTTGTTGCAAAAGAAGCTTCTTTGATGAGTGGTGACTGGCATACTTGTTTATGAATATAAGAATCCATAATTAGCACATACTAAGAAATTACATTTGTCTAGGGATGTAAAAGATGGGGTTTTAAGATCTATGACCTCTCAAGCCATGTGTATGTTTAATAGTACCACAGGCATTCCTTCCCATTGAGTGGGCTTTAAGTCCTATTAGGTAGCTGTTGATCACGCTCAAGATAAAAGTGCCACCACAACCCCAATTGTTTGCTGTACTGGTCATTATTGTGGTTATTAGGCCTTAAAACTGGGTGGAACCATCGACCGATGTTCTCCCTTAGCTTGAATAGTATTCTCCAAAACCATGATAGCCTTCAGGGAGGAGGCTTCCAGGTCAGTTCCAGCTCCATTGCTCCAAGTCCTGTGTCCAAAGTATGTCCTGTCTTCAGCAATAGCGTCTTACGTTCAAGTTCTGGGAGGCAATCAAGGGCTGTGACAATAGCCTGTAATATTTGGGAGTCTCTTGGATTACCCTGGCCAACAACTTGAAGGGAGATTTCTCCTGTCTGGCACTGTTTCCTGTCGTATAGCCTTCAGCCATACACATGGAGTCATGTAGAGATACTGCATGTGTAATTTTTAAGTAATACATTTCCCTGTATTTTTACACCAGCTAGGCACTATTTATCTCTCTCCCTGTCTAAACCTCCCTCCCCCCTCCCTAGTTAAAGTACCCCCATTTTCCCCATTTGCCGTTGATAATACCTGTCTCCTATGGTCCCCCCTCTAAGTACGATCTTCCCATTTACCTCCATAGTTCCTTGTATAACCCTCCCTCTTCTCTCATTTTACCCATTTCTACCTTAGTAACACCAGTCTCTTACTGTTCTTCTCTCTCAGGGTCCTTCTTTTCCCTTACCTCTCTGGTTCCTTTTTGTTTTCCTGGCTCCTACAGTTACATCAGGATATATACTCACATATAAGGGTTTGGTACTAGTATCCAAAAATGAGGGAGAATATACATCATTTGTTTTTCCGAGTCTGTGTTACTTAACAGTTTCTAGTTCCCATCATTTACCTGCACATTTCATGATTTCGTCTTTCTTTACTGCTGAGTAGAACTCCATTGTATAAAAGTACCAGATTTCCATTATCCACTCAGTCGAGGGACAGTTAGGTTGCTTCCATCTCTTAGCTATTGTAAGAGGAGCAACCAACATGGATGTACAAGTATCTCTGAGGCAGGATGAGTCCTTTGGGTATATGCCAAGAAATGGTATAACTGGTTCATATGGTAGATTCATTTTTAGTTTTTTAAGAGTACTCCATACGGCTTTCCATAGTGGTCGAAAAAGTTTGCTATCCCATGAGCAGTCAATGAGTAGGCCCCCTTCCCTGCCTCCTCTCCAGCACTTGGTATCATCTGTTCTTTTGATCTTAGCCAGTCTGACTTGGGTAAGATGAAATATAAAGGTAGTTTTAATTTGAATTTCCCTAATTACTAATGATATTGAACACCTTTTAAGGTGTTTCTTAGCCATCTTTATTTCTTCTTTTGAGAACTTTCTGTTTAGATCCATAGCCCATCTTTTAATTGGGTCATTTGTTTTCTTGATTATTTTCTGAGTTCTTTATATATTCTGGATGTTAAACCTCTCTGTCAAGTGCATCGTTGGTGAAGATTTTCCTCCTACTCCACGGGCTTTATCTTCACTTCCTTGTTGTTTCTTGTGCTGTACAGAAGCTTTTTAGTTTAATGAGGTCCCACTTGTTGACTGTTGACCTTAATTTCTGAGTAACTAATGTCCCATTTAGAAAGTCCTTTCCTACACCTATATCTTGTAGGTAACTGCCTATGTTTTCTTTTAATAGTTTCAGAGTTTCAGGCTTCACATTGAGGTCTTTGATCCATGTGGAGTTGACTTTTCTGAAAGTTGAAAGATAGGGGTTTAGCTTCATTCTTCTCCAGGTGGAGATCCAGTTTTGCCAGCACCATTTGTTGAAGATGCTGTCTTTCTTCCAGTGAGTGTTCTTGGTACCTCTGTCAAATATCAGGTGGCTGTAGTTGCATGTACTCATGCTTGGGTCTTCAATTATGCTCTATGGATCTATGTGTCTGTTTTTGTGCCAGTACCATGCTGTTTTTAGAAGTCATTGTATTGTATACCTACTAACCTTTAACTGATAAACAATTATTCAGTGTGACTCTTTTCTAATAGCTTACAAATTATACTCTGCATAGGGACACTGATGTACATCTCCACATAGATATTTCTTCTAGTCCACTTTTAAAACTTTGGCTGTGGTCCTCTGTCGTAAGACATTCAAATTTGTTAAATAAAATGTTTAGGTTTCTAATCCTTTTAAAAACATCATTATCACTCTAAAGTTGAATAAGGCTTTTCTTTAAATGTGTTTTTATATTGTTTCAGTTACCAAGATCCATTTGAAATTTTTTTGCTATTTAAAAAATGCATTTTTAACAAAAGAGTGGATAAGGATTAAATATTTAATTAATTCACATCCTTTGTTCTAATAAACACAGTAGGAAATTTTCTGTCTTATCCAAAGCAAAGAGTAGGACCAAAAAAAAAAAAAAAAAAAAAAAATGACTGCTTCATAGTGACAAGAAAAATTCCTTATTTCAGAAAATGAATTTTCTGTTGTAAATTCTTATAAACAAAGCCATTCTTAGAAAATAGGATTTAAAAGTGCATTTTTGATATGTCCATTACATTGTGTGGATAGCGGAAATTTAAATGTGTATCATCTTTTACACATATTTCAATTATTTTTATTCCCATTTTCTTGATTAATGTCTACCTATTAAGTAAAAAAAGACTGCAGTAAAGGAACTAGAGGGTATTTGAGGAAGTTATTAAATCATCTCTACACTAATCAAATACACAAAAGTTCTCCATTTAAAAATATCACATACTTAAAATCAACTAAATTGGCAGAATTATTACTTAAACAAAAGCATGCAAAAGTCACTGCATGATTGTTTATTTAAAATATGACTCTGGATGTATATACAGATGGGCTTACATAATATGTGGTTATTCATATAAACCCTCAATTAAAATGTTCAAGAGTTCATCCCCAATGCCTTTTGTTTTAATAAACCCAATAGTAAATGTTCTATCTTATGGAAAGTGTTTATAGCCTTTTGTATCTTGATTTGTGAAGAAAGTACTAAAAAATAAGTTAACTACATCAAAGAATAATTTGTTTGCAATGCTGTCACAGATTTCTCCATGGCAAAATAGTCATATATTGTTATTGCACAATTTACAGATACAGGTAATTATGTGCAAATAAACTCTCTCTATAATGACAATGTTTTCACTGCAACTTGCTCAATATATTTAAAATTCTGAAATACAATTTACAAAATCTTTAACAATACACTTTTATAATAAAAGTATCCTGAGGATATTACAAAATTCATTTTACCAGCCCTTCATTTCTTTGCTTTGACTCTTTAATTTCTAATATTTTCCATATTTCATCACATAAAAATGGCCATTTATAGTTCCAACTAAACAAAATAAATGTAAGCTAAATTGTATATAATTGTCCCTTAAACACTTAGTCTTCTCTATTTCCAGTCTCACTGTTAAAAATCAAGTATTTATCAAGTTTTTTATAATTCTGAATCATAAAGATATAGCATGAAACAGAGAGAAATAGGATTAGTATATTCAAGTTAAAAGCACTGTGCACTTTAAGCATTTTTGTCAATTTTTTGTAATAAAGTAATGTATTTTGGCAAAAATAATAAAATATAAGGACTGCTTCCTATCCGTGGCAGATATGCAGGGCATTTATGTTCACAAGCACTATTTAATTTGACTATTTTCACTTTTTTTTTCTAAAAACACTGCAATAACATTTCTTGAATTTTGAGACTTAAAAGCATCTAAAATGAAGTAAAATGAAAATAAAAGTTTAAGCAAAATGCTTGATCATCAGAACTCCTTTGTGATAAATTCATAAACTTAAATGCTTATGTGCCAACACAGTCTCTTTATTGCCTCCTGAGATTATCTGATTCAATATCTTTAAAATAGTAATATTGGAACTTCGCTTAAAATTTGCTTGAAAATTAGAATGTGAATTAACAAAAACTTTAAATGAAAAAACATAGTTGCAAAAAAAGGTTTTATACTTGTGGTAGTAGGTTTTATGGCACAAAACTACATAAATACTTAGTTTCTGCACACACATATACACACACACAAACTAAGTTCAAATAAGATGGCTAAGATTTTTTTATGTGTATATACACACACATATATACATATACATAAATACATTTACATACACACATCAGGGCTCTAGAAAGGGGAAAACGAAAACTCTGTATAATGAACCATCTGGTTCTTTTATACTGAAGTCCCAATAAGAGTTTTAATGGAGAAGCTCATTATTTATGTCTTACTCTTATCCACACATGAACTTACCATTAACGGAAAGGAAAAGGATTTAGATGTATTTTTGGTAAGAGAAGTGAGAGTGTGGTAAATTAAGTGATGCATATTATCTGCACCTGCCTTAAACAATTTTTACTGTCACTGAAATTCATAGTAGGTAAATTCTGCACTTGTAGAATTTCTGCAGAAGAATTTATCAACAACAAGAAAACCAAGTTCCTTTAATATTATGACATACTATAATACACTATAAATAAGCATGAATACAACATTACTTACACTTTCTAACATTCTATGTTAGGCAATATCACCTAATTCTGAATGACTTGTTAACTTTTAAGGCATCAGTGCATCAAGGGCAAAGCTCCGTAAAATAAATACAAAAGTAAGAAAGCATTAGGTTATCTGTGGTACAGAGTAAGTGATTACTGTGCATTGTATCTGTTGGCCATTTCCATCAAACAAGTAATAAATTAATTATACAACTGCTTATGAAAATGTTACAGCATAAATTTGACATCATTTTTTAACACTTCATTTAAGGGGCTAAACTGATCTGGTAGTATCCTCATTTTCATTGTTCCATCAGCTCCACAAGAGAAAATGTGATTTGCTGGTCCTGTTTCAATTTGCATCACTCCAGTTCCAATATTTCTAAAAATGGACTGTCGAGCATGCTCATTGATAAAAGTATGGAGAAGACCAAAGGTAGAAAGACTCCAAATCTGAAAGATATGAAGGATAAAATGAAAACTGGGGTGGAGATTGCCTTAAGTATCCAAAAGAAAATGTAAACCTGCCTTCCTACGCAAATCTGAATTTCTAAAACAAAGATGGAAACATTTCTATATAGGCTTATGATCATAGCCTTTTGATTCTCTATAGGGTGTGGCCATTTTATAATTTATTTTTATTAAATACTCAAAGTCCATTGAGAGAGTAAATTATTACTAATACTGTATTGAAGATGAGAAAAACTAGGTACAAAGAACAGAAATCTGCAATAGAGGCTACAAGGTTTTCTGTCTCTTACCAGAGCCTTTGCTGGGCAGTTGTGAGGTGATTCCTTCTTTGTAATATCACTCACCCAGAGATCAGAACGTACACAAGGACAAAAGTTAACTGACATCTAGATGTTTTTTACCCCAGTGAAGTTAAGGCAAAGTCAACTATTAAAACTTTAGGATACTTGGGGGCCAGAGAGATTGCTCAGAGGTTAAGAGCACTGGCTACTCTTGCAGAGGACCTGGCCTGGAACTCACTTTGTAGATCAGGCTGGTCTCATACTCACATAGATCCTCCTGCCTCCTAAGTGCTAGGATTAAAATTGTGCACCACCATGCCCAGCCTAATTAATGAATCTTTGATTTTTTTTCCTACATGATCTCAAAAAAATCATAAATAAATTGATCTCCCTAATTCTAAAATAAGTGTCCTAAAAGCACAAAGATCCTTTAAATGAGTGAAGATACTTATAATTTGCTTTAAAAATATATGCATTTGGTTTGATACAGGCTAACAATACAAATTCTTAGTAAATTAAGTAGCCTAAAGTTTTAAAAAAATTTTTATTATATTTTTATTTTGTGTATATGAGTGTATTGCCTGCATGTGTGTAAGTGCACCCATATTGTGCAATGTCCATAGAGGTCAGAAGAAGACTTCAGATTCCCCTGGAACTGGGGTCAGATGGTTATTAGCTGCCATGTGGGTGCTGGGAATCAAATCCGGGTCCTCTGCAAGAACATCCAGTGCTCTTAACCCCTGAGCCATCTGTCCATCCCTTGTCAAATTAGTTTAAACTTCAAAATCAGCGTACTATCTGAAAGAGTCTCTCAATCAAACTCTGCCCTGCTCTAGGTTAAAGTCAGTTTGAAGCATGTTATACTGGCATAGGGAAGAAAGACACAGTTCATTATACTCTAGTGGCTAGAGTATAAAGAATCACAGATCTGTGTCACACCGAGACCATCAAATTGCTGGGACCAACACAGCCAACCCAGATGACAGCTAACTGTTGTTCACTTTCTTAGAATGAGACCTCAATGTCATCGCTGGGCAAAACTGTCTGCTTTCATCATATATCTGATGTCATGACACATGACACACATCTGGAAAACCCTAAGTACAGAAAAGGGGAGAAAACCCTATTCTGGAAAAATCCCAGACATTCCTGGAATTCTTTGCAGTCCCTTACCTCTGCCTTCCCTATCTTACAAACAATCTTCCTTCCAAAGCTTGCTCATAAAATGAGTTATGCAAAATCCTAGCCATGGGTACAACTTCTTAAGTGTGTAGTATCACGCTGCAATAAAACTTCCACTTCTGTACTTTGTCTTGTCTCTAATTCTTTCTACAACGGTGACAAGAACCTGGAAACAATGGATAGAGGTCTAAATTTGGTCTTTCTGAAACTTTACCAGCCTTGCCACCAGAAATAAGTTGAGAAATAGGCTCCCATCAAAGAAAAATAATTCTGTTGGGATATACATTAAATTTTAGGAAAAGGCATTTCAAAGCCTGGTGTGGTAGCACAGGCCTTTAATCCCAGCACTCAGGAGGCAGAGACAGAGGCAGTTGGATCTCAGTGAGATTGAGCCAGGTCTACATAGCGAGTTCTAGGGCAGCTGGGGCTACAGGGAGACCCTATCTCAGCAAATGAAAAAAAAAAAGGCACTTCAAAATTTCAGAATTCTAGTTTTGGGGGGAGGCTGATTGAGAATTACAAAAACAACCTATCAGTTTATCAGTTCAATCAGAGAGGTCCATCTTATTTAGCACTAAATATGCTCATGTATGTAAACATTCAGCGAATAAGAGACTGTGGAGTACTCAGTCCTAAATGGGACACCTATATTATACTTCCTCCTCCCAAGGCTCAGAGATCATTGTGGAAGAGGGGGCTCAAAGATTTAAGAGCCAGAGGTAATGGATGAATACAAGAAATCAGTTGCCTAGACATAACAGGGAAGATGTACACATGAACTCACAGCTCTTGTTACAGCATGCACAAGCCCAAGCCAGACAAAAGCCCAGCATGGGTAGGGGGAGGTAGGCAAGAAGCTTCAGCCCTAGCTGAGGAACTATTGACAACTGCTAACTGCTGGGAGAGGGAGAGTCAGTTTTGAGGGACTGATAATGCCTGATAGGTTGATCAGACTCTCAGGGATAGAGCCACACCCAAGACCACTTGGGAAACACAAATTAGATTGGATTGGTTTTTAAAAAAGAAATAACAGGGGCTGGAAAGATGGCTCAGTGGTAAAGACTACAGCACCCACATGGTGGCTAACAACCATACATACATCCAGTTCCAGGGGATCTGACGCCCTCTTTTGATTTCTGCAGGCATTGCATGACATGAGTGCACTTATACACATGCAGGCAAAACATTCATAAACATAAAATAATAAACTATTTTAAAAAAGAAAAATATTAATAAAGGACATGAAGTTGTGCAGGTGTGGGGTAAGCTGGGGATGGAGATGGGGAGGGGGTTGAAATATGATCAAATGAAACTTTCAAAGAATCAATAAAAATATTTAAAATGGGGCTGGAGAGATGGCTCAGAGGTTAAGTGCACCGACTGCTCTTGCAGAGGACCCAGGTTCAATTCCCAGCACCCACATGGAGGCTATGAACCACCCTTAACTCTAGTTCCAGGGGAATCTGAAGCCCTCTTCTGATCTCTGCGGCACTGCACAACATGGGTGCACTCACGTACATGCAGGCAATACATTCATACACACAAAATAAAAAATAATAATAAAAAAATTAAAAAAACCCAGATCCTTCAAATCTAGGATTACTGATCACTAAGCAGCATAAAGACTAGCTGAAACTGGCTTATCCATTTTCACTGAGGCCCACAAAACCTTCCATCAAAACCAACATGTACACATATTCCTGAGCCTAGCTAGGACTTTACAACTGAGTATTTCTGAGATAGAAACTAGCAGTGTACATTTTAATAAGTTCCTTAACATCTTTAAAATAAGCAGCTTAACAAGTTCTTTAAATTGTAAGCACAATGGGGTTTGAAAAGGACTGTTCTGGACATTATCCAGGTGTATTTTTGAATCAGAATTCTTGAATCCTGAGTGGTTGAAAATCATTATTATAGAAAAGTACTATTATTACATATTAAAAAGGAAAAGTACTACAGATTTAGTTGGTAAACCTGAAAATTTAGTAAATTTATATAACTAGGAACCTGGAGCCAAGAGTAATTCTAATGTCTGGAATATATTTATATCCATGGAAAATTTGTTTCTGAATCATGCATTAAGCATATTTTTTTAAAAACTGAAAAATAAAGTTGTCAAATTGTAATTCCATTAATCAATTGGCATTGTTGGCTATAGGGAACTAATATTACTATTATTTAAGTAGACTGGTGCCATCAATATGATTAAAGACCGAAGTTTATCCATTCTGTAGATAGTGTGGCATTAATTGTGTTTACCTTTATATTGCCTTCTGCAGATCCTGTAACAAAGTACTCTTCAGTTGGGTCAATAGCAATGGCTTTGATAGGGGAATCGTGGCTCTGAAATGACTGCTTCTGTTGTCGTTGTCGAAGATCAAATACACATGTGAAACCTTTTCTGCCACCAGATATCAGTAGCTGATGCTTGGGAGCATATGCTAAAACCGTGGCTCCGCTATCATGGCAAGTGAAAGCTGGAAGTTAAAAAAGTTAAGACCATTTAGCAATAAAAGAAACAGACTTCTGGCTTGTGATCAAGATGGAGTAAGCCAGACTTGCTTTCCTGTCTAAACCAAATTAGAAGCCAAATGAAATATAAGAAACAATGATTTGAGATGCTGGGCATCAGGCGATGAAGAATGATCTCAAAGAGAAGGGAAACTGAGTTAGCCATACAACTGTCCCAGTTTACTGCCTAGAATTTTCTGGCTAGGGCACAAGGAGGGAAAACCCAAGCTGAAGTGGATTTAGACACAGCCATGGTGGTTGAATAGTATCTATTACATATGTGTAACTAAGAATTTCCTTTTAGACATCTGTGTTGTTTCCAGTTTTGTCTATTATAAATAAAGCTGCCATCGACAAGCCTGTATGAGCCTTTCATAGTATGCATTTAAACTTCTCTTGGGTATATAAGCAACAGTATATACAGCTGGATCATGCTAAATATGTGTTTACGTATTAGAAACTGGGTTTTTCAAAGTAGTTGTACCATTTTATCCTTCTGTCAGCAGTTCCACACCCTCACCAACACTTGGTATTTGAGCCTTTAATTTTGGACATTCTTGTGCATCTTACTGATGTGCATCTTCCTGATGAGTCTTCATCTTGAACATTAAAAATTGTCATTATTTTTATTTATGTGTATGAGTGTACTGAAAAATTTTGTGATAAGCATGTATATAAGTGTACCATGTTATGCAATGCAGCGGGGGTTAGAAGAGGGTGTTGGATTCTCCTGGAACTGGAGTTACGGACAGTTGTTAGCTGTCATGTGGGTACTGGGACTCAAACCCAGGTCCTCTGCAAGAGCAGTCAGTGCTCCTAACTGCTGAGCTATCTCTCCAGCTCATCCTGAACATTTAAAAAAATTTTTTTTTCCTTTCATTTATTTATTTTTATGGGGCTTTTGGGTACTCTAACATTCCCCCCTCTGAAGAGGTAACCCTAAAATTGAACATTTAAAAACATTTTATTTACTTTTTAATTTTATGTGTATGTGTGTGTTGTCTGCATGTAGGTAAGTGAACCCATGTTGTGCAATGCCCGCAGAGGTCAGAAGAGGCTGTCGGAGCCCCTGGGACTGAGAGTTACGGACAGTTGTTAGATGCCATGTGGGTGCTGGGATTCGAACCTGGATCTTCTGCAAGAACAACCAGTGTTCTTAACCGCTGAGCCATCACTCCAGTCCCTGAACATTTTTTTTAATATGCTTATTTGCCATTCAGATATTGAGAAGACAACTATTTAAGAGTCCTTGGATGCATCATTTCATTCATGGATTGTGTCTTCAGTATAACAACTTAAAATTTGTCACCAAACCCAAACTACCTAGATTTTTCTCCTGCCTTCTTTCAGAAGTTTGCCTGTATTTTACATGTAGGCCTATGACCCATTCTGAGAAAAATTTTGTGATAAGCGAGGTCTGTACCTGTTATTTATTTTTTGGTTGTGTTTTACATGTCATTATTCAAATAGCACTATTTATTGAAAAGGCTAATTTTTTTCTCCATTGAATAGCTTTTGTGCTCCTAAAATTGGTCTATTATATACAAAGGAAGCCTATAACTAGGCTCTCTGTTCTTGCTAATGATCTATGTATCTGTTTTAAAGCCACTATCATCATCTCTGATTACTATAGTTTTATATTAAGTACTAAAATTAGCAGTGCAAATTACCTGTATTTTTTTCAGTATTCTGTTGGCCATTTTTTTTCATAAAAACTTTATAATTGGTTTATTGATATATAAAAAATAGCTTGCTTGGATTTTGATTAGGATTGGGATGAATTCATAATGTTGGGAGGAACTAACATTGTAATAAAATTAAGTTTTCAAATCCTAAAACGTGGCGTAGCTTCTCCATTTATTTAGATCGTCGATTTCTTTTAAAATATTTTATCTATTATTTTTTATTTTATGTGTATGAGTGTATTGCTTACATGTAGGTAAGTGCACCCATGTCATATAATGCCCACGGAAGACAGAAGAGGCTGTCAGATCCCCTGGAACTGGAGTTGTGGACAGTTGTTAGCTGCCATGTAGGTGCTGGGATTTGAATCTGGGTCTTCTGTAAGAACAGTGAGTGGTTTTTTTTGTTTTTGTTTTTTGAGACAGGGCCTCCCTGTAGCCCCAGCTGTCCTGGAACTTACTATGTAGACTAGGCTGGCCTTGAACTCACAGAGAGTCACCTGCCTCTGCCTCTCAAGTGCTGAGATTAAAGGTATGTGCCACACTACACCTGGCAGTTAGTTTTCTTAATTGCTGAGCAATCTCTCCAGCCCCATTGATCTTCTTTGATTTCTTTAACCATTTTTATAGCTTTCTACACATATACCTGTACATATTTTGTTTGATCTATGCCTCAGTATTTATTTTGGTATTATAAATATTCATTGTTGGCACAGAGGAAAGCAACTGATTTTAGTGTACTGCCTGAGACCTTGTTGTATTGACAATACTAATTCAGAGGTTTCCTTTTTAGAGTCTTTGAGATTTTCTATACAATCATGCCATCTCTAAATATAGGTTTAATTTATTTCTCCTAATCTATATACCTTTTGTTTCTTTTTCTTGTGTTAATGCTATGGCTTCAAACACAACATTGAATAGGCATGGCCAGAGGGGACATAGACTAGGTACCTGAGAGTCACAATGATGATCTATGATTAGAAGATTAAAAACAAAGGCAATGGGGGCTGGGAAGATGGCTCACTGGGTAAGGTACTTGCTATGCAAGCATGAGGACCTGATTTTGTATCCTCAGCATCCATGTAAAAGGCTTGGCTTGGGGATGGGGAGATGGCTCAGTGGTTAAGAGCACTGACTGCTCTTGCAATTCCCAGCATTCAAATGGTGGCTAACAACTGTCCATAACTCCAGTTCCAGGGGATCTGACACCTTCTGACTACCGTGGGCACTGCATGATATGGGTGCACATGCAAACAATACACTCATACACACAAAATAAAAACAATTAAAAAAAGTTAGGTGTGGAGATGGGTGCCTGTAATCCTAGTGCTACTGGGGCACAGAGAGAGGGATGCTGAGGGCTTGCTAGCCAGTCAATCTAGCTGATCTTGCAAGCTCCAGGTTCAGTGGTTCAGTGAGAGACCCTGTCTCAAAAAAGTAAGGTGGAAATGTGAGTGAGGAAGACAACTGTATGTAAACTTCAACTCCTGGCCTCCATACATGCACACATGGACTAGTGTATAAACATAGGTACATATGCATGTGTGCGCATGGACACACACACACACACACATGCAGTCAAATGGTTTTTAAATTATTTATGTCCTACTGTCCCTTATCAAGGTATAGGGAAGAATTAATTATGTGTCTCTGTTTGTCTTTAAACCCTGTCATCATGGGTAAAATTTACTTCACAGGCTAATAGAGTGTGCTAATAAAAATAAATCTACTTAGAAATCATTTTTAGTTTGTGAATTTCTCTTGAAACATAAGTCTCCTATAGCCCAGGCTGCCCTTAAACTTTCTATATAGTTAGCCAAGGATGAAACTGAACTTCTGATTCTTCTGCCTTCCCCTCCCAAGTGCTAGGATTACAGGTGTCTAGTACCATGCCTCGCTTATGTGGTATTGGGATATCAAACCCAGGGCTTTGTGCATGTTAGGCAAGCACTCTATCCACAGCCCAAGTTTGTGAACGTCTTAACTTCTACAATTTATAAAATGTCTTTAAAACTTACCGTATATTTCCCCACCCCCTCCAGTTTAGAACAGCATTATGAAAATGGCAATAAAAAGTATTTTGTGTATTAAAAAAACTTACCATGTACTAAACTATTGGCAGGTGCTACAAGAGTATCCCACAAACAAATGTTTCTGGAAAAAAAGGTATATTTTGGAGTGACATAAAAATTGATAAAATAAGAAATAAATCTAATATAAAATACATTTGAACCTTATTCAAAAGAAGGTTCTTAAATTTATAAAGCACCCAAAAATTAACCCACAAATTTATACACAACTAATTAATATATAAAATTTAAAAACTTCTATCTTACAAAACTAAGTTCTGATTAATATATACTTATAAATAGTATTAACTAAAGGCTGAATATATAAATGGCTTTATGTATTTACTAATTTTCTCATCTAACAGCTGATACACTCAAATGACAGAAAACACTAAAATTTCTTGAACATAAAAATTTCTACTATAAGGAGGCATCAATGTATGTATGGAATTTCTATTCAATATGGGACCAAAATTCTACAGTCTTAAAATCTAGTTTCTGGTGCAAAGTGAGGCCTGACAGATAAATATAAAATGCTCAGCAACTTCAGCGTGTCTTGACCTCAGAACTCAGTTGCTCTGAGTAGATAGGGCAAGAGGGCAGAATTTTCTTAAAAACTCAGCCTTTTGGGTTAGGGGGTGGCTACTGCTCTGTTTTCTTATTGTGAAAATGATAATATGAAGCCATGGTAAAGACTAAGTTAACTAAATAATATGGCCAATAAATGATAGTACCTTTTTTTGGTTTCAAGCTTTCTGACTACATAGAAAATAATATAAAAAGGGGCCACAGAGCTGGTTCAGCAGTTAAGAGAACCTGCTGCTCTTTCAGAGAACCTGGGTTCAAATCCCAGTACCCACATGGCAGTTAACAACCATCTGTAACTCTAGTTCCAGGGAACTCTGGCACCCTCTTCTGACCTCCTCAAGCACTGCCCAACACAGGTGCACGTACATGCAGGCAATAATACACATAAAATTAAAGTGATAAATAAAATTTTAAAAGAAAATAATATAAACAAATGATTATTTCACCAACAACCAAATCCTTTTCTCCTAAAGTCCTAACATTAGAACATCTAAAAAAATATAGAAAGAATAGATTTTGATTTAAATGGTACTAGAATTTCCCAAGCTTTAGAATTAGGCTACTAATTTTAAGTTAAGAAACAAATCTTTATGGGGAAAAAGAAAACCCTAAGGCATAATTATGGAGACTAAGGAGACATAAAACAGTAACCAAATTCAGCTTTCCATATGAAACACTTTCTACACATAGTTTTAGCTACCATCTCTTACCTATTGTCAGTAGAAAGACCGGCTGTAGCTATCAGAGAGGAGGAACTAACGAAGACAAAATCATTGGCCGTTTTGTTATGGCACTGCCAAGTCTGGAATGGGGAAAAGCAATATATGCTACTGTTGGTAGTAAAATTAATAACCAAATAGATATGTAACTCAAAAATCATCGTGTACTTTGTCTTTCTTAAATATTTTCTTCTTATCCTTTAATTTTAGAGAAGTTGGAGAAGCAATACAGATAACTTTTATGTTTATTTTGCCTCTCTCTGTAGTTAGACAGATACTTCCTGAACCATCTACTTAAGCTGCATATGTCATGGTCCTTTATAAAACTGTTTACTTTTGTTCAACCAAAACTTCAAAAGAAAACATGGAAATTGGACTTCAAATATTTTCCCAGGACTATTCAGTGAAAAAACTGTCTTATAAGAAGACAAAACCAGGATTTAATATTATCTTAGATTTAAGCATCTGTTAAATCGACATGATAAATTTTTTAGAAATACATAAAACTTTTAAATAATTGTTCAAAATGATAAAAATTACCAAGTCACAAAAATTATGAAGTTTATATACTTAAGAACACTCAATCAAACTTATTATGACACATTTCATCAATTAAAAGAAGAAAGGCAGGTTCTTAGGGACATAAGCTCATACCACCTCACACTGTTAGCCTAATAAAAATAAGAGTTTTCTTTCAAGGTGATCCTAAACAATATCCAGTAGCTTTCATTTAGATCAATGCTGCACATCTAGATTTAACTGTGAGTGGCTTCTTCCTGATATGTACTGCTTATGTTTAGTTCTGTAAAGGGCTTCACTGAGGAACAGATTAAATATAACTTTTTATTCTCTGAAGACATAGATGTTTTGTCAAATCTTCATGGTCTTGAATAAAGATGTACAAATATCTTGCTAAAAAAAAAAAACAGTATCAGCAACAGGATGTTCCTTCTATTTGTTCATTAATAAGGGCTAAGTCCAGGAAAATAATGTTATGTTACTAGTCTGATATATTACTAATCTGTTAATCATTTTAATTAGGTATAAAACTGACTTGCAGCTTAGTGAGGTTAGAAAGGGCTCCAGTAATCTGTAGGTTGCATGGGTCTCTGAAGGTACCATGTTGATTCTATACTTGTTAACTTTCTAAACTTAGTAATTTTCAGATAATACAATAGGAGCCTATAGCAGTGACTGAGTCACAACACTAGACATATTTTATTTATTCATCTTAATATTTCTTGCTTCAAACACATTCTTGTTTTTTTCTTACATAAAATTCATATTTTATATATATGTAGGAATTTTTAGCTTACCAGGTATGGCTTAGGCATGCTCCCAGTAATTGGACAGCATTTCCAGTTTGTTTGGTACAAACTTAAATATCCATCAGCATCAACTATTCCAAACTTAGAAAGAAATTCAAATGTTTAATGCAAATAAAAAGCACATATTCATCCTTACCCGAGTGTGACACACACACTCACTGTTTAAGATTTGATTGCTAGTTTGACTTTTCATTTCACTTACGCATTGATCTACTTCAGAACAGTATCTAGATACGACTTTAAGAAAACCTCCAGTGTAGACATAAAGGAAAGAAACATCAGCTACCTGTTTAACTAATTTACAGCACTGTCTGTATAGTCCTTAAATGATTAACTATTAACCTATCCAATAATACTTTATATATAATATAGGTAAGTGTTCATTTTTTAAAAAAGCCAAAAAAAAAAAAAGGACTTTCAGAAACACACAATAAGGAAAAAAACATAAGGAAGATAACCGTAATCCCAGCACTTGGGAGGCGAAGGAAAGAGGGCTGCATGAGTTCCAGGACAGTTTGGGCTACATAGTGAGTTCCACACTAACATGGTCTACAATGTGAGACCCTGTGTCCAAAAAAAAGGCCCCAAAACAAAAACCAAAAAACCCAAACCTAAACAAGCAACAATAATAAGAAACCCCCCAAATAAAAAGCAAAAATATACAAATAAGAATAGAAAGAAAAAATAGGAATTATCAAAGAATTCTATTACAGAAACTCATTCTTATTTACTTGGGAAGACACTGAATTAATCTAATACAACAGGACATGGTATGGAGGGTGAGCTAACTTTTAATTATTATTATTATAAAATCAGTATGTGCTAGCTGGGCATGGTGGCTTATACCTGTAACCCCTAGTACCTGGGAGGCTGAAGCAGGAGGACTTCCGTGAGTTTAGGTCAATGTGGGCTATAGAGACCCTGTTCCCTGCCCCCAAATCAACAAAACAAAAAGTGCATTCATATGTAAAATATATAAAACTCATGTCTATTTTGGAGCCCTATCTATCTTCTCTTACCTCTAGATTAATCACCTATTGTAACAATTTGATGCTACTTCCTTTAAGATTTCTTTCTATAACTATTCAAATATTCATATACAGCCCTTTTTCAGTAAATTGGACAATCTACAGACATACATGTAACTGTCTACCTCCAGCTGTTCTTGTGCTCTGTAGTATCACAGTGCACTGATGTGTTTGTAATTTTAAACTTTCCCTTTATAGATAGTTTTCAGTAGATTAGATCATAAAACGTACTGTTTTGAACACACACACACACACACACACACACACACACACACACACACTCTTTACCTTTTAATAATTATTTAAAATTAGATATCTAAATCTGGGAAGGCTGGCAAGATGGTTTAGTGGGTAAAAAGGCTTGCTACCAAGCTTGACAACCTGAGTTAAACCCCTGGGACCCTCATGGTAGAAGGAGAGAACTGAGCCCTTACAAGTTGTCCTCTGACCTTCACATGTGAGCCATGACCCCCCTTTCACAAAATAAAATTTAAAATGTAAAATAATAAAAGAAAAAAAGCTGAAGGAAACAATGAAAACCTAAGCAACAATAATTCACTACTCATTTTTTCTTATACATTAGTAAATACTAGCTATCAATAAATAAAATATTTACCAATTTTAATAAACAGGAAAAAGCTTTATTTTATTTTGCATTTATTTATTTGTATATTCAGGATTACTGAATATACATATGATAAACTTCATATTGTTTGTCTATTTCTTAATTTAAAAAAATACCTGAATATTAACCTACTGCTTCTAATTTGTTAGTTTTCCAGCATCTATCCCTCTAGTTTATTCAGGGCAGGGATAAAGATGGAATATGTGTTCATGAGCCATCAGATATGGATGACAGTTTAGCAGAATTCTATGAATTCTATGAATATACTTTACTAATTATAATCATGTAACTGTAATCAGATTGCAATTTTTTCCTTCTAATTGTAATTTATGAGGATGATGCTGTTAATTTGAAAGGAGGGGAGCTATTAAGTACCATTCCCCTAAATCAAAACCAAAATTCCCAATTAACCAAGATGTGTGCCAGCACATCTTAGTACTTGGCAGGCCCTTTCTCTGAAACTCTGTTCTTTGCTTTAGGAGATTATTTCTTTGACTATTGTTTCTCCCCATTTTCTTTCTTTCCCTTTCTTTTGAGACAGGCTCTTACTATGTAGTCCTAGCTGACCTGGAACTCACAGAAACCTGCCTGCCTTTGCTTCCTGAGAGCTGGGATTAAAGGAATGCACCACCAAACATGCAATGAGATAATTTCCTAATTTGTGCTTTTGAATTACTTAATTTAAAAACTATTTATGTTCACTGCATAGTTCTCATAGTTTTGAGAACTATGTTATTAATAGTTCTTACAAATTAGTCCAGCCCATTTTTGTTTTATGAATATATTTTTCTGCATCTCTTAAGAATTACTCCTTACAGGTAATTTATTCTTTTTATTGCCTTAGTTTTGCTGAAATGTTCAGTCTTTTGACTGCCCAAATCTATTTGTAATTCACAATCAAACCGACTACCATTATTGGGACAGAGTGAACCTTCTCTACCATTTGCTTAAGATGCTTCCCTACAGCATACTTAGGTGGTACACTATTTGGATCCATCATGGTTCAAATAAGTGAACAGTAAATTGACTGCTTATCAAGATACAAGTATAGCTTGTAGTGCTTTAAAACAGACTACATGAAAAGCTATAGTGAGTGGTAATGTTGAAAATAAGTCAGATTGTAGGAGTTCGAGTATCATACTGAAGAATTTGGTATGAGATGTCTTGAAGGGCTTCCAGAAAATGAAATAAAGGCTACTGACTATTTTTTAGCTACTTAAATATGTTGTTCATTATATCACCTTTTTGATATATTAAAGGGACTAAGGACTGATGTACTGACTAGTTAGAAACAACAGAACACTGACAACTAAATGAAAAGCATGAACATATAAAGAACACTGTTAGGGAAACACCTGACAGAACAGGCTGAATATTTTTTTATCTGAAATGGTTAGGAGCAGAAGAGTTTCAGATTGGGGAGGGTTTGTATGTTTTTGCTTGCTTTATTTTAACATTCACATAGACTATTATACATAGACTATTATACTGAAAATCTGAAATCTGAAGTGTTCTGAAATGTGAGCACCAAAAGTAGGAAATTCAGGGGAAGGACAAGGCAAGATGTACTAGATGTACTATTATCTAGGATTCATGTAAATTTTCAGTGCAGCATATCCTGAAGATGAAGCACAAGCTAATTTTCCTTTTAATCATTATTTAAAGTGCTACAGACATGCAATTTGGAAAAGCAGCAATATGAGAAGTGAGGGCAGTAAAGGGCTGGGTACAGTTGGCTCAGTCGGCTTTTCCTTAAATGGCTCTTTAAGCAAGGGCTTGTCCTAACTCTGCTGCTGTGTAGTAGGAAATACGTAAAGAAAACAGTAATGAATGGAGTGACTGTGAGGAAATGAAGCTTTCTACACAAGACATGTGCCCAGTGCATAGTTTGCCGATGATCCATTCTAGGTCAGTGCTTTCCACAACTTTAATAGGTACACAAATCACAAATGCACATGTGATTCAGCCAATCTAACAATCTCCCAAATGGTATTTGCTGATGGCTGATAGATCAGACTTTGAGTAGAGTCTGGGAGCTAAAGAAATGGTCATTTACTAACCAACAAACCAGCCAGCCAGCCAGCCAGCCAACCAACCATCCAACCATCCATCCATCCATCCATCCATCCATCCATCCATCCATCCAAACTTATCCAACCAATAAAAAAAGGGGAAGAACATTTGGGCCTTATGAACATTTAAATTAATTTAGTGGAGATATATGTATCTCACATACCTACAGGAAGAATCAAACGAACTTAATGTCCTTTGAGAAGAATTAAAAGAATTCATATGAATTAAAACTTTACTATTAGCCCACTTAATTCTTTTCAAAATCCCTAACTGGTGATTTTATAAACTATCAATATTTTTTATCATTTAATTGTCCATAGTACCTTATTTCCCTGATAGTTAAATCTCATTCTTGTAATTCTTGAATTGCCACCAGAACGAAAACAGGTTATTTGTTGAGAATGGCCCCATTCAAACATTCTGACACTCCCATCTTGAGCTCCTGTCAGATCTGCATAAGACAACAAAAATTATGGATTTATTTTAAGAATTTTTCAGAAAATTTGTTTCTTAACTCAATGGGGAAATCTTTATCAAAGAAACACCCAGGAAATAAATCAGTCTATTTACATGAAATTAACTTTTGTAATGATGTTTCATTTTATATAATAAAAGATAGGCATATGATATAGTTTTATTTGAGACCACAACTTCAAACAAAACAGTAGAAACATTTAAATTAGATCTCTGTAAATATCTTTATGTTAAAAATTATCTTAATGATATTTTATAGCCTAAAGTAAATCATTTTTATAACCATTTACCATAATAAATTCTTAGGGTTATTAGCATCATCTTTATCAGTCATACTATTAGTGTTTAAATTTATATATTTTTCTCAGAAAAAGACATATAGAAGGCTATCAATACCATGCTAAAGGAAAAAAATTCATTTGTAAAAGTTATCCTGATTGACCTGTTAACTCAAATATAGATTATATATTTCATTTGAGAATATGAACCCGCTAAATGATTACTAATCCTTCACTTTAACATTTACTCTTTGTGTGATATTAGGAAACACAATTTCTTTGGCAATACTGTTTCTTTATTATACAGTAGAATAATATATATGTCACTAGTTATGAGAAGTAAATGAGATCATTTATATAAAGTACTCAAATACATAACAAGTGGGACCCAAATTATATCAGTTATAATTATGAGAATTAGTATGACATAGGGCCAGCGAGAATTTGGCTTTTTACCCAAGCCTTATTTACACAGCACATGATAATTAAAAGACCAGACTGGTGGAACTAACCTTACTGGATGTTTAACAGCCATAGTTTGAGGCCTAGACTAATGTGGTCAGAGGACTTAAAAGATAGTTTTTGCCCCTTGCCCTCCAAGGTTGACCAAGTTCCAGGGGACTATGGAAAATCTCTCAAAATTTCCTGTAACTGTGGTGAGTCACCTGTCCTCTTGTTCAGGGAGGACATGGAGACCCCATGAGATGGACTTAAACCAGTATACAGTCCAGTCTACAAAGAGGAGGGTCAACTCAGAGGAAACATCTCATTCATGCTTCCAAGTGATGACAGACACGGTTGAGCAGGATATTTGACTTATCTTCACATAGATGGAACTGGTAAAAGAAAGGAGCCAGGGGCTCCTCCCAAGCCCACATGACCCCTGAGGAACAGATCCTCAAATGACCTTAAGTGTGAAAATAAATTGATGTATTTGGGCCAACTATATAGTCTTAAATACCCAAAAGGAAAGTATAACCAAAGAGTAAAGTCATCATAAGAGTTCAAGGGATTACACTTTTCAGACATTAGGCTTAAGTTCATATAAAATGTTAATAAATTATTTCTCATTGACGATTTTGATCCTAACCAGAAAGTACTGCTCAGATGTAAGACTTCAAATCTTGGTCTCCAATACTGTAGTGCCCACCTGTAGCTAAGGGAGACAACCAGCTTTTGTTCTAAAATGATGGATAAATTTGTTTTCTCCCCTTATCTAGAAGAGGGAACTGACACTGATTCTAACCACTCCAACAGCTATCAAAATACCTCAAAGCAAATCCTGACTTGATCACTCTAGAGTCCAGCCTTGGAAGACAAAAGAAAATGAGGAGGAACCCAATAGAGGGATGCTTTTGGAAGCCCTTGTCAAGAAATTCCAATGGACTCTCAT